CGCAGTAGTTCCTTCTACAGAGCTAAGATGACTTTGATGACAGAACATAATATTATGCTTAAATCAGACAAGTGCTCTGAGTACGTAAAAAATACTATGTACAATAATCGAAACTGCATGCATGTAAAATATGAACACAGATGCATATCACGTTTCAGTTAAGCTTTCAATGCGCGTGTGAGGTTATATTATTTTAAAATTCCTTCGCTTCTTTTATAACATGAGAAATACTCAGGGTTTTCGAGTGTAAATGTGAATTTTGAGTTTGTTGCGCACCAGGTTAAGAACGCCTGACGGAAAAATGGTGTTCAAAAAATCTTAAAGAAGGAACTTTCGAATTGTCAAAAAGATTAAAGAACTAGCACTATGAGGAATGAGTAATTTTATATGATTTAAGACTGGGTTTATAATAGTGAATTTTCATTCAACATTAATACTCGCTGGAGGTTGTAAAGGAACCATATGACCGCAAAATGGCAAATAAATGGTAAATTTATAAATATAAAGAACATCTATCTACAAATGCTTTGCATAGGTTATGCCTGGTTAGATATAGTCGTGCATTTTCGTAAGCATTAAATAAATCTTTTTTTGGAAATGCAGAAAAACAATCACATTACTTAAGTCAAGTAAATCACTTAAGGACTTCTTCTTAATAAGTACGTAAAAGATGCATAAGTTCAAATTTTACCTGGATCACCTTTATTCACGACCTTTAGAACAGACTGCCAAATTACAGACACGCACAACAATATATCAGCTTTAAGTTTCCATTTTAACCAATGGCACGGGGTGTGCATATACAAAGTGACCGGAAGACTAGAGCCATACTATCCAATAAGAAAGGTCTATGGGTACGAACAAAACTCAACTAAAAATATTATTTAGTTTTTACGGTATTCAAGATAAACAAAAATCCCTAGGGCTCAGATTAAATAGAAGTGTTCCACAGTAGATTATTATGTTGAAATGCCGTTATAAATCTGGATATTTCATAACTAATTACTGATAAGCCGGATGACAAAAACTACAATTGAACAAAACACAGATATTTAACCGAGAAGTGAAATCGATGGTTAATGATAAGCTTATTTTATACATCAAGGCAACCTACGAAAATTTAAGCGGCTGCAAATCACTTAAATATTTTAGTTCTTCTCAATTCCGCAATTTTGGACACAAACATCATCCTGGACTCTTCATTTATACTCACAGATGCGTGTCATACTTAATAGTACGTATCTTTCAATGAACTCGATATTTTTATACATCAGTCATGAAAAATATATAGTCCATTGAAGTGCAAAGCGATTATAGTTGGCCATATCTGAAAAGGAAAATACTCAAAATAAGCTATTCTGAGATTTTAGTAGAATTCTTGGAAAATTCAGACTCTTATGCTGTCATATTCTTCAGAATACGTGCTTGTTTGCTCTTTTAGAGAAAAACA